TGAAAAGTATTAAAAATCCTTAGTCACAGTCTTTTTTTATAAGCATTTAAAGTTCAAAAATTGACAAAATATGGAAAAATCACGAAAATTAGTTAATTATTTTGAGTTAAGAGTTCGTAAAAATTTTTCTTTTTCAATCTAAGATTTGAAAATGTAACACAAAATTCCTTATCTACTTTTATCAAAACAAAAACGTCCATGAGAAAGTCTAATTAAAGAAAGATAAATTTTTATGAGTGTTTGAAATTCAAATGTTTACAACATTAGATATTCACTCAATTTCTCATGTAGCGATTTCCTTATTTTGTTGTAATTCAAAAACGAATAACTGTAAATACATGAAAGTTTCACTGAATGTTTATATTAGCATTTCCTATATACCATACAGTTTTGAAAATATTTTGACTCTTTTTGAACTGTTTATGAAGATTTTTAATATTCAATTTTTTTAGTTTTTTTTCTATAAATATCAATTAAGTTTTTTCTCTTGGGCCAAAAAATGTAAAAATTTAATACAAGGCTCCTGATATATTGATACAATATCAGTTGTAAATTTATTTGTAGTTAAAAATTTATAAAATGTTCAACTTTTATATCTAAGGATTGAAAATTTAAAACAATAATCCAATTAATTAATTAATTCTGTTACCTAAAAATGTAAAAAAAAAATACATAAGCACAGTTTATTTTTATAGTCATTTTAAGTTAAAATTCGGACGAAATTACATAATAAAAGACCTAGAATAACAATTTTAGTTATTTTGTTGTGATTGTATAATATTATTCGTGGGTACTTGAAACTTCTAAAGTACACTATAATATATCTATGACAGTATCAGGGTTTGTTGTTGATGTATAACGCGTTATAAGTACCTAATGGATATTGTGAAATGATTAATTTTGAATAAATTTACTATAGGTCAATTTTTTTTTTAATACCATTGCTATGTATATAATTTGTCTTAAACCTAGACTGACATACCACGCGTCTCCACTCAGAATCGTTTTTCTTATACAATGATAGTATATCATTGAATTCAAATTTAATACCATCCAATATATATACAGTGACCCACTTGTAACCAACTGTACCACTTTTTTAATTATATACCAAACAAAATTAATAAATTCGATTATATATTAAATATTTAGGTATTCAAATTTAACCACATAAGATATAAAATATTATGTTTTATTTACAATTTTTCATTCGTAAAATGTATTGAATTTATTTAAGAGATTGGATCATTCAACTGACTTTTGACAACATTTTAATATTTTATATTATATTATAATGTCTTATTAATTTATTAATAATTGTATCATCCCAATAATCACAGATAAATGATTAGTGTAGTAAGTAATAACTACATAATTTATTCTTACAGCGGGTAGGATCTAAGATATATTTATCAACAAATAGGAACTAACCAATGAATTTGTTACCTCCTAGATCTCCTGTATGAACGTACATTCGCCTACACGCTTAGACCAACGACGCAACCTCGTACACTTAGACCGACTATTTTGAAAACAAATTAAATTAGCGCTGTTGAAGTACGAGAGTGTGTGCTTGTCGGTTATACGTTGGTTCCTTCTAAGTTAAAATGACTCAATAAGATTCTGTATAACATTGTCTCTATGTACTTTATAACTATTTGGTTTAAATAAACGTATACCCCGCCACTGTTCCTTTTTGTAATGTAAAAAGGTAAAATTTCTGAAATAAAACTCAATCACAGTTTTAGATCAGAAACAAGTTTATTGGTACGCGCGAGTGGCGTTTGTTTGACCTATCTAAATTAAAAAGTTTTCAAAATATATTTGCAACTTATACTACATAATTATTATATTATATTAAATTAAATTATATTGACGACTGTCTACATTGTCGACTCAACAATATATGACACCAATATATGTGCCCCCCTCAAAAATTGATAATGTACACAACAATATATTAAGATGTCGATTGCAGTGCTTTTTTTTGTAAAGAGAATCATGACATTTAGAATACTTATAATTATTAAATTATATGCACCTACCTACGTTTTTGTTTAGTTTATATACGGAAGACCGAGTGATCAACGCAAGTGTTTCGCTGAAGAAACATTACAACCGACCAACTGGTTTACTATTAAATTACATGGATCAGCTTGTCAGAGGGCTATCTACGCAGAATACACAAAAAATCGATATGCTATTTACTCAAACGGTAGGTATTTGATATACAATCAATAGAACGCAATGACATTTTTACATCTCATAGATGACGATGAAATTATCCATTTAACAGACTACCTACCTATATTATACGTTTATATATTTTAACATTAGTGATTCAAATTTTTTTTCAGCTTACAAATTATTTATACAGTGTTCATCCATATCACTTGTTTGGAATGGACATTGTCAGCCTGGATATACAACGAAGCCGCGATCATGGTATACCAAGCTACACAGAATTTAGAAAATATTGTCGACTAAAAGCTATTAGAAGTATACAAGATTTATCCCGGATCATGGTTGAAGGTGTAAGTTTAAACTATTTGAAATATTAAATAATATTACAGTATTATTAATTTATTCCCGTATATTATAATATTTAGTCAACTGATAGACTATTGAAACAATACAAACATTGGAGAGATATAGAGCTATTTGTAGGTGCATTGTTTTTGAGAAACACGAAGACGACTCAATGGTTGGCCCAACGATGAGATGTATCATTAGAGAACAGTTTATAAGAACTAGAATGGCAGATAGATATTTTTACGATTTACCAAATATATTCAATGAATGTTAGTATATCTGAAATGTTTTTTTTATAAATGATCCTGATTTTAACTAAATTTTTTTAATATTTCAGATCAACTGACAGAAATCAGAAAAGTGACACTTGCCAGAATCTTTTGTGATAACAGTAATAATGTCACAATGATGCAGAAAAAAGTATTTTTGATACCTGAAATGGCTGATTTGCAACTCTGTAGTTCCCAATTAATTCCAAAAATCAACATAAATCACTGGTCAGAAAATGTCGATACATTTCAAAAATAACCTCGTATAAATTATTGATGTATTTATTTATAATGTATTGTTATTGAAAAACAATATTAACATTATTTTAAATTTAATAATCAATAACCAGCCTTTAATCTAACATTTTTTCATTTTACCTATGTGTCTTTTTTTTCCATAAAAATTTTTGAAATGATTTATGAGTCTGTATTTATTATTTAATAGATTACATTTTTTGATTGTATAAAATACATTTTTAAATGTTGATAAAATTTGTAAGTACATTAAATGTTCATTAATATTTTTAAATGATATAGCTAAAATACTTTTGGGAAATTTGAACAAATGATAAATTGGTCAAGGGAAAAATTAAAAATGGAATTCTTAGACGAATTTTAATCAATAGGTTATTCATTAAATTAAAAAATTAATTATGCAACAATAATCAAGATATGATTTATATTTAATAATGAGTTATTACGTATCGGAATATTGTGATCATATTATTTGTGTACATCTAAAGTTATCTGCCTGTTACTTATTGCGTGTGCATGGGTATGTGTGTTACCCAATAAATATTTTGTTTTATTAAACATTAAATGTATCATTTAAATACATTAATAGGTCAGTATTAATATTAATGGTTTAATTAACATTTTATAAAAGTATAAAAAAACCATTAATATAACGTCAGGGTGTAATTTATATGGATATTTAAAAAATATAACCTTGTATAAAACATTGATATATTTATTTATAATGTATTCATGTTGAAAAACAATATTAACAATTTTTAAATTTAAATTTATTTTTAAATTTAATAATCAATAATCATCCTCTAATCTAATATTTTTGAATTGTACCAATGTGTCATGTTTTTAATATGAATTATATGTCTTATTCTACTTCAGCATATAGAAACAAAAAAAAATAGCTAACCTTTTATGTTTATTCGGTAAAAATGTTAAATATACAGAACAAAAAAATAGATAATAATATTAGGTAATTTCAAAATAACTTAATACATTAAATTGCATGTAATATTATAAACATTAATTATTAATTTAGAATAAAAATAAAAAACATTTTCACAATGAACAATTGTTCAACACATCATTGTCATATTATAAGGAACATAAATTTTAATTAATATACCTATAACAGCATGTAACCCATACGTCGCATTACGCAACACACTGCAATTAAGAAGGTATGTTGTTATACTTCGGCCCCCCATAACCAAATAGGTAACAACAACCACGGCCACCGTTATAAAAACTATCATTGGCAACCATGATACTCACATTAAACCCAATTCACAACCTATCACACATAAAACATTCTCAGAAACAACAGCAAACTCGTCCTTTCCAAAAAAAGACCAAGCAATTATCTTCAATATACAGTAATTGACGTCCCACAAATCGGGTACATCAAAGCATTCAGCCAGATTACATTGCCTAATAACATAAAATTCGCTTCACGCATATCAAACAATAGATTTTGCATTTATTTCGACAGTAAGAGTATCGTTGACCATATTATCTCAAAACAATCGTATATCGTTATAAATAACACACAAATTGCTTATCGTCGGCTCATTAACCCGGCTCTATACCTCACGATATAATTTTGAAAGCTATTAATAATAGCCTTTTTAAAATATTATCTCTCATTACATTTATGAAAGCCGGTTTTTCAAACGATAAGTACAGTCACATGGGCAGTTTTCGACGACAAGTATATTTACACCCCAACGATATCCATAGACTGCCGAGTTCATTATTAATTAATTACGATCAAACCGATTACCTCATATTCTTTCAGGCGAGACCGTGTTATGCTATATCTGCAAACAAACTGGTCATACCTCAAACCACTGCCAAAAAGATTTTCATAATACGATCAATAGCAATAACGTCCCTCCGCCGATAACCGAAGAAACCGAAGATATTAATTCACAAAATGATCAAAATATCATGGACCATACTAACATAAATCATAGTATCGAACAATATCAACAACAATTCCCAAACAAGCTGACACCCTCACAGGAATCAGCTGACCACATAAAAAGACCCATCTCATCATACGCCAGCATCAGCGACACCGACAATGCATTTATTACAGAGAACCCTATTAACACATCAACAACACCTACGAAAACTCAAAACCATCAAACCAATAATAGCATCCTCACAACAAAGCTATTAGAATCCCAATCCAACCGAAAAAAAGCAAATGCAGGAATAACACACAATACACCCCGACACCAATTAATAGCACAAAAATAAGCAAGCCTATCACCGAAAAATCCTCAACCCGTTAACAAAAAAATTAAACGCTTCAACTCCATAGAACAAATATAGTAGCTAAACTGGACGAAACACTAGCCCCAGCCATAACTGCTTTTGAATTAATTCCCAACCTAAAAATAGACTTCACTCAGCTCATGTACATTATTGAAAACTCCCTCAGCGTGGATGATCCCTCCAATCTTTTAAAACAATTTAACATAGGTAGCACCGATGGAAATTATTGATATATTAGACACGATTCGTCCTAAAAGAAAAAACCTTAGCATTAAAAACAGGCTAGGAAAATATAGTTATTTTAATTTTAAATACCTACCATTTAATATAAGTCACAATAAATGTTTTAAACATCACAAACAATTGTAATTATTAAATATAGGTGCTTATTTAAATTTCTATATCAATACGCATTTATTCATGTTTAACAAATAATTTATCACTCATGATTTAAAGGTCATATATCTTTAATTTTTACACCATATACTTTGATACTTTTAATATTACTGTAAATCTTAATCACTAACAATACCTATCTATATTATATTCTTATCATATTTTTTGAACCACTGAAAGTAAATAATTTTATACTACTGACCAATATTCGGAATATTTCATTTGTTTTATTCGAAATACAGTATACTGTACCAAATTTCTGTTTACTATTTGGCCCAGGCGTGTAATTTCAATTTTTTGAAAGGTATATGCTAACAACTATAGAAAGGCCAATGGAAAATGTCTGCTGGCCAATAGATATTGTACTACCAATATATAGATATTACAAGAAAAAAATTTTTCTTAAAATTAGAATCTTTATATATTCCATGTACCTAATAATCTAATATATTATGAATATTGTATATTATCTAATAATACTAACTACTTAAATGGTACTTCTTTATTGAAACTTATATTGAAATATTTATAGACTGTAATTTGTCCTAAAAACACTAACATTTTTTTTTCAAAATAACGGGCCCCACTGAGAGAACTCGTGTGGTAGCCCAGTAGTTTTAAATTACATTATAAGTACATACATAGTGTGCTTATATAAATGTATACAACAAAACTTGGAAATCCTCAATCACACATGAAATATTTTTTTATAAACCAAAATTTTAGATTCTGAGTGAAACGATGATTGACTTGATTTTACAATGATGTGTGTTTTTTTTTGTGTCTGTGTACACGATAAGTAGTCGAAATAATGCTTCGATTTTCAACTTCAGTATCTTGTTTGATTGGAAAGTGAATTTCGTTGGTGCAATGGGGAAGTCAAAATTTAAAATGCCAAGAAAAACAAAAGAAAAATTAAGGAAAAACGGAAATTTTTAAGCAAAATCGATTTTTCAAAAAATTGAATTTGGTTTTTGGGGTAACTTTAAAACAAATTACCGTAGATACATTAAATTTTCACTGGTTGCTAAAATTTACATTTTCTATACATGATAACATTTTCAAAATATTTTGATATATTTTGAACTGTTAAGGGACATTTTCATTTTCCATTTTTTTTAAAATTATTTTTCTAAAAATATCAATAAAATTTTATTTGTTTTTTTAAAAAAGCTTGAAAATTTAATAGAAGGCTAATAGTATATTGTTTCAAAGGCTGATGAAAAATATTAAAAATTCTTAATCACAGATTTTCTTTAAAAGCATTTAAAGTTCAAAAATTGACAAAATATGGAAAAACCACTAAAATTAGCAAATTATTTTGTGTTAAGAATTTGTAAAAATTTTTCTTTTTAGATCTAAGATTTGAAAATGTAATACAAGATTCCTTATAAGATTATCTAAATTTATCAAAAAAAAAATGTCTATAAGAAAGTCAAATTAAATTTTTATGAGCGTTTGAAATTAAAATTTTTACAACATTGGATATTCACTCGATTTCTCATGTAGCGATTTCTTGATCTGTTGGGCCAAAAAGTGTAAAAATTTAATACATTGCCCCTGATATATTATTGTTACAATATCAGTTGAAAAATCTAAAAAAAACATAAGTACAGTTTATTTTTATAGTCATTTTAAGTTCAAATTTGGACGGAATTACATATTAATAAACCTAGTTATTTTGTTGCGATTGTATAGGTACCTAATATTATTCGTGGGTACTTGAAACTTCTAAAGTACACTATTATTTAATATCTATGATAGTATCAGGGTTTGTTGTTGATGTATAACGCGTTATAAGTACCTAATGGATATTGTGATATGATTAATTTGGAATTTATTATAGGTACCTACCTCTTATAGGTACATTTTTTATAATACCATAGATAAGTATATAATAAGTCTTATACCTAGACTGACATAGCGTCTCCGCTCAGAATCGTTTTTCTTAATATATTATATCATTGAATTCAAATTTAATACCATCCATTATACACTATACAGTGACCCACTTGTAAGCTATTGTACAGCAGAACACCTTTTTGTATTTCATTTAAATAATTTAATGAAACATTAATAATAATATCACATACATTTGTTTCCGATACTTAAGACAAATTTAAAAAAAAATTATTTTTGCCTGCAGAAAAATTGTAGTCAGGCCAAAATACAATCTTGATAAATTGTAGGTGTACATAAGCTGCTACACCTCAAATTTGAGTCCCTGCTTTGGCCCTAATACCGATTTTTATGTTTTACATAAACTACACCGTATCAATATGTATATATGAAACACACGTCTATTTTCTTTGTTGAAGTTTATATTTTGAGGTTGATTATTATAGTTTACAATATAAAAATATACCTACCTTCTACCTATTATATTAATTATCAATATATTTTATTTTATTTTACACTTTTAAAATCAAAATAGAATATATATAAACTACAAAGAATAAGTATTTGCTGATTCCTATCTTATTTTATTTTAAATACAGATATTTTAAGGAAGTATTTAAAATAATTGATCCAAGTACTTTTTTCAAAAGTATTTCAATACTTTTACTCAAGTACTATACTTGACTGACTCCGAGGTATATGATAAATTATTAAGCAAGAATGCAGAATGCAACATGTTTTGACTGCAGGTTGGGAAACGTCATCATAATTGCAATCGTTGTTATTGAACCAGTAATTTATACTGGAATGTTACTATCGTATTGAATACTACTGTTATCATACATTATATTCATAGGCGTGCGCACAGGGGGTGCCGGGGGTACCTAACCTGCATTGGGGAGGTCAAAATTTAAAATTCCCAATAGTTTTCACAAGCGCCGGGAAAAACAACATAAAAATTAAGGAAAAACGGGAATTTTTACGCAAAATCGGTTTTTGACAAAATCGAATTTGGTTTTTGGTGTAACTTTAAAACAAATGACCGTAAATACATGACATTTTCACTGGTTGTTTATATTTGCATTTTCTATACACGATAACACTTTCAAAATATTTTGATTTATTTTGAACTGTTTAGGGACATTTTCATTTTTCATTTTTTTTTAGTTTTTTTCTAGAAATATCAATACAATTTTATTTGTTGGTTAAAAAAACTTGAAAATTTAATAGAAGACTCCTAGTATATTGTTTCAAAGGCAGATGAAAAATATTAAAAATCGTTAGTCACAGTTTTTTTTTATAAGCATTTAAAGTTCAAAAATTGACAAAATATGGAAAAATCAAGAAAATTAGCAAATTATTTTGAGTTAAGAATTGGCAAACATTTTTCTTTTTAAATCTAAGATTTGAAAATGTAATACAAGATTACTCATAAGTTTGTCTACCTTTATCAATAAAAAAATCTCTACCGGACAGTCAAATTGAATTTTTATGAGAGTTTGAAATTCAAATTTTTACAACATTGGATGTTCACTAGATTTTTCATGTAGCGATTTCCTTCTTTTGTTGTTATTCATAAACGAATAACTATAGATACATGAAAATTTCACTGAATGTTTATATTAGCATTTCCTATACACCATACAATTTTGAAAATATTTTGACTCTTTTGAGCTGTTTACGGATATTTTTATTTTTAAATTTTTTTAGTTTTTTTTTCTATGAATATCAATAAAGTTTTATCTGTTGGGCCAAAAAGTGTAAAAATTTAATACAACGCTCCTGATATATTGTTACAATATCAGTTGAAAAATATTAAAAATACATAGGCACAATTTTTTTTTATAAGCATTTAAACATCGAATTTTGACAGAATTTTTCAAAATCTCGAAAATTATTAATCATTGTAATTAATAAATTATAAAATGTTCAGTTTTTATAGCTAAGGATTGAAAATTTAAAACAAGATTCCACGTAAGTAGTTAATTCTCTTACCGAAAAATCTAAAAAATATACAATCACAGTTTATTTTTATAGTCATTTTATGTTCAAATTTGGACGAAATTACATATTAAAAAACCTAGTTATTTTGTTGTGATTATATAATATTATTCGTGGATCGTGGGTACCTACTTGAAACTTCTAAAGTGTACTATTATATATCTATGATAGTATCAGGGTTTGTTATTGATGTTGATGTATAACGTGTTATAAGTACCTAATGGATACACACTTGTAACCTACTGTACAGCAGAGCGACATCCACTTACCCATCTTTTTATAGACTATAGTTGTTAGTTGTTACGCATAGTGTTATAATGCAGTAAAACACAAATGCCAAATTATATAATGTAACAATTAATATTTAAAAAAGAAGATACATCATGTATTTGACTATTTGAATATCTTATATAAAGTGGTATAGGTCAGTGGCGTAATTATGAATTTTCAATGGGGGTTGGGAGTCGTCACATAATTTCCGTAACACAAGGCTACATTTATAATATGATCCAGTATAAAAATTAATATCGTTTTATGCACCAACAGTTTCCGGTAACTACTGTAAATATTAACTTTTTATAGGCTAGCACATAATATAGGTGTTCAAGTATAATAATTTATTACCAAATGTCTTTTTTGTTAAATTTATCAGGTTTGTTAAAAAAAAATACAATTATGTGTTTGTA